GGCAGTGTGTGAGGCTGTGAGTGTGAAGCAAAAGGTGCCCTGGAGACCTCAGAAGTTTAGAAAAGCCAGGACCATGGACTGTCTGAGGAAAGCTGAAAGGAGGGAGCAAAGCAGGCCTAAGAGAGAAGTCGTGGAAGCTGTAACCACCACAAGTGCCACAGGGGTAGACTCATGCAAGCCCTTTGGAGCTCACAATGTGCCACAGATTGCTTCAGATGCCGCATGTGGAATTACAGGACATAGTGTTAGCCCTGCTGGATTTTGGACTTGCTTTGGTCCCAATGCCCTGTGTCCCCCTGTTTGTACCTTTTGGAATAGTACTGCTTATTTTGTGCCATTGAATGTTGGAAGTGTTTAACTTTTCATTTGTAAAGGTGCTCACAGCTGAGAGTTTGCCTTACATTTTGGGGGAGACTTGGGACTTGGACTTTTCAGCAATGCTGAAACTGTTAGGACTTTGGCAACTCTTGCAGATGGACTAATTGCTGTTTGTATAAGGGATGGGCATGAGTCTTTCAGGGGGCCAGGGGTGGAATGTTATGGTTTACGTGTGTGTGTACCCCAAAGCCTCCTGCAGCCATGGGGCAGGCTATTAGAGTTTGATATGGGTGTGAGAGCTGCACCTGCCCTGGGGTGGATAGTTTGCAAAAAGGGAGAGGAAAAGAGTGCTTGAGGCGATTCCTCCCCCATTCCACCCTGGTGTATGGTGGTTGCTTTTGCTACGTGCTGCCGCCTTGAGCTGCAGCCCTCTGCCATGTGCCACTCTGCCTTATAATCTGCCAAGTACGGACTGAAACTTCCACGAACTGTAAGCAAAATAAACCTTTCCTTCCTTCATTTTGGGCATCAGGTATTTTGTCCCAGCAACAAGAGAAAAGTAACTGAGACAGCTGTCTCTTTCTATGATAGTACAATTATTTTGGGAAAACTATACATGTCCTTCTGCCTAAGTCCTGCTTTACAAGAAAGAAGGAAAGGAAAAGAAACCAATTATAATTACTTATTCAGGAAGTCCTTCTGGAATCAGCAGAAAAAAAGCTACCTCCAGAATTAAGTACAGGTGCTTACCACAGTATAGTACTTGAGTTTGAGTCTTTTGTATGTACAAAGACACTCCAAAATGGAGAAAAAAGTGATCTCCCACAGTCAAAACCAGTAAAAGATACAACAAAAAGATCAGATCCATTTTTTCATCTCAGACCAAGAAATCCTCTGTCCAATACTTATTCTTCTATATATTGCTAGAAAATCAAAAAGAGATACAACACATTTGTCTCTACCACATAAGCTTTCAAAGAACTGGAACCATTGCATTTATCTTTTACCTTAGTTACCATACATATTTCTGAATGCTGTAATCACTATTTCCTATTAGAAACCACACTAACATGGCACAGCATCGATTAATTTCTCCAAAAACTTCACTGAAGACTAATCACACTCCATAAACAACGCAAGTTTTTGAAAAAAACTTAGAAGTCAAGCTCTACCTTTGTAAGTCAATGGAAATTTAAGGCCATTCTTTAATCCTTTTAGAAGATACACTTACAAAAGCAGGACTAAAAATTAAGTTTTATATCACACTAAAATATTTTTAGGGCTTTCCTCAAATGTCCAGCTTAGAAAAACAAATTTCACATTAAGAAGAAAACAGTCTGCTCATTTAGTGACAGCTGCCTCAAACATGAAAATACTACTTTCTTTTCTTCATTGTGGTCATTAACTTTGTTTCACACAGAAGTTAAATGTTTATATATCTAAAATGAAAACCCATAAAAAATACTGAAAGGCACAGTACCCTTAAATGAGTGTTCTTGGTTTCAAAAGCTTTTCTTATTTCTCCTTCACAGACACCTCTGAAATTAAAATTAGCATTTGAAAGTATTCAAAAATCGTTTAAATTTCTGTTTAGTCATTATGCTCTACAGGTGCAGTTCTCAAATAAATTTACCTTCTTTTATCTCAATTTTAACAAATTTACAGTTCTATTACAAAGTATTTTTGACTTCACAGAATAGGAACTTTTTGAGGAAAAAAATAATAAAAATAAAATTCATTTTCATAAATAAATTTTTTAAAGGCACTGTCTATGTTTTATAATAATATTACACTATTTACGAAAAGCTGTTAATATTTCCTGGTAGCATCTGAAAGGAATAAATGAGCCACTCTGCCAATACATAGTTTCTCTACACTCTTTAAACCACACTAGATGCCAGGGATTATACAAACAAGACACACTTCAACCAAGAGTATCACGCTGGCAGAACACATAAACCATACAGCTATACCACAGAGTGTGATAAAGTGCAAAAACAGAAATGGATCTAAATGGTTAAAAGTGGCACATGCCTGTATTCCCAAGTACTCGAGAGGCCAAGAAAGGAAGATAGCAAGCTTGAGGCCCGCCTGGGCAATCTTCTCAAACAACAGTTTTTAGAATCCTCTTCTGAATCTGAGCTTTTTTTAGCATCTGCCTGTTTAAAGTATCTCAATTGTGAAGTAAAATTATTCTCAACCTCTTCTCTCTTTATGTGATCCCAGCTTCTTCCATTTATGCTATCTTCTTATTCACAAGTCTCTCAAAATATCAGGTTATTTTCAAATAGCTAGAACAAAAAATATAAATATAATACCTTCTTAAGGTATTGTAAATATTTTAGCTATTTGATAAGAATTTTTGTAGTCAGTAATAAGAGGCTAAAAAAAAAACCCAGCACTAGCCAGGTACTGAAAAATACGAGATGTATAAATATGAAATTAAGGAGCAGCACTATGTCACTATCTAAGAAATTGAAAGCAAAGGAATAAGAACATGTAGTATATAGTACATGTCTTAAAATATGTGCCTTACATCCCCTGAGGTCATAATAATGCTCTTACATAACTATAAACACCTCTCAGACATAATAATACAGATTTCACCACCATGAAAAAACTTATTCTGGACTAACTGGTGACCAAAAACAGCTATCAAAAACAAAATACAAGATGTCCTAACTTTCCATAGTCATTTTTAGTGACTATGTAAGCTAATATGCAGAGTAATGTTAATAATTAGTAGAGAAAATGATGATTCCATTATCTTTTAAAAAGTTTTTCAAAATATTAAAAATTCTATTATAAATGCATATGGGAATATAAAAAGTAAATAAAAGTATATTAATAAGTACACTGTAGTTTAAAACATTAGAAATAGAAAATGAAAATGTTTTACTTCTTTTTAAAACTGTAACAAGTTATGGGCAACCAATGCCTACATGAACTGAAATACTGCTATGTTTTAACCAGCTTCCAACATTTTATTATTTGTATGTTCAGTGTCATGAGATATCTTTATGGGTTCCTTTAACTAACATCACTTATTCTAGGACATCTACTTTCCTCATTTATGTCAGCAAGTTCACCTTCAGTATATTCTTTTGGCTGTATACCTAGTCTCTTAAAATGCAGCTGTGTCAGGATTCTGTAAGTCAGCTAGCTATTTTCCCCTACCATGTACTGAAATTTTAATTCCAACATTATCACTGTTGCTTTGTTGCATTTTTCTGCTTCTTATCCAATTCCCTTGAAAACATTACAAAACCTTATTACTGGAAACAAGGAAGCAATACAACTACATACTTTGCTGAGTGTGGAGGACAGGAATAACAAACACATAGCAACCAACTAATGGACACTGTAAAGTGCTCACTTTGGCAGCACATATACTAAAATTGGACACTGTAAGAAGAGATATGATTTGTCACTGCTCATAACCATATCAGCTTATGAAACAGATTATGAAATAATTCCTAGACTGAAGAGGTAGCAATAAAATCATACTTTGTGTAATTTATTTAATGTAACATAGTAACTGAAATTGGAACCATACAGTTAGAGAGCTGGTGTTACTTAGATGAACCATGGTAAATGAAATTCATGCATACTGGAACCATGTAAAGCAACAACTATCTGTATTTAAACCAAATGCCTGAAATTGTTGGAGCCAAGATTAGGGAACTATCATGTCCAAAAGATGCAGAATACAAAGATGAACTCCATGCTTTCCTATTCCTTTTCTAAATTACAGAACAGAGAGACTCTAAGCACAAAGGAAGTCTACTTTTCTGAGAAAGCAAAAGGTGCTATTTGATCCCTGCCAACTCGACATATCTGGGTACACACCCACAGATTCCAGTTATAATTCCAGAAGGGTCATGCCTCAGAATGAGAACCATAACCTACAAGTAATACAGTAGCACTTTCTTCAAAAGCTACAATCTGCATACTGTCTTAATTCATGGACTAAGTGAATCCATAAACAGAGGGATGCTGGAAGAGGAAAAAGTAAAAAGATAACTGAAAGTAGCTACTGTGCAAGTCTGGACGCAAACACTAAATTAAAGCAGTATTTGGAAATTAAACACTGCTGTAGTTACCATTTTGTAGTCCCATCCAAAGCTGCTTGTGATCTTTTTTCTGCATTTCATTGATTACTTGGCTTTTATGCTTTAAAGCATCAGCTTCTTTTATGCAAGACATAAAATGAGCTTCAATTGCATCCTTAGATGGACAGTGCAGAAGGTCCTTTTCTGGAAAACTCTATCAAAGGGAAAAAATACACCTATAAATCAAGTACACACGTTGCAGAATCACTCCCTTAAAACCAAACAGTATCTCCCAATTTTCCAATACTGCTAGCAAGCCACATTTTAACATCATAACTACATTGCTTTTAAAAATTAACTTTAAAAATTTTTTAGCTATTTGACACACTTTTTACATTTTCCAAATGATAAATATATTTGTAAGAACACACAAAAGAATAATAATTTAAAAAACAGGTTTTAACTGACCATACCACATTTCAAAGGAAGTGGAATGGAAATCTCACATACTGATGGTAGAAATGCGTAATGGTACAAATACTTTGGAAAAACAGTTTGGTTTCTTAAAAAGGGTAAAGACACACCTATACCACTGTCCCAGCCATTATACAACTAACTAGCCATCTAAGAAAAATTACATCATATGTTCATACAAAGCACTGTGTATGAATGTTCACAACAGCTTTATCTATAACAGTAAGCTCAGGAAACAATCAACAGAAAAATGAATATATAAATAGTATAAACTTTTATTATTTGAGCATGCAGTTTATTATTCATCAATTAAACTCCAACAAAATCTGTTAAAACGTAGCTCTTAGGCTAGACTTAGTGGCAAGTACCTCTAATCCCAGCTACCTATGAGGCTTTGACAGGAAAATGGAAAGTTCGATGCCAGCCTAGGGCAATTTAGCAAGAACTAATTTCAAAATAAAGTGTTGGAGATACAGCTCAGAATTCCCTCGGCTCCATCCTCAATACAACCAAAAACAAAAAACTTAGCTTTTTTTTTGGTACTGGGTATTGAACTCAGGACCTCACGCTTGCCAGGCAGGTGCTATGCCACTGAGCTATATCCCTGGCCCAAAAAACCTAGCTTTAAAAGTAAAACACAAAACAAAAAAACTAGGCCAGGCTTGGTGGCATACACCTGTAATCCCAGCACTTGGGAGGCTGAGGTAGGAGATCACTGTGAGTTCAAGGCCAGTATAGGCTACGAAGTGAATTAAAGACAGTCTGAACACCATAGTGAAACCACCCCCTCGTCCCAAAAATACACACACACACACACACACAAAACCCAAAAACCTAATTTATACCCTATAAATTCACTTATGATACATTACTAGCTATTATACTATTATATTCATATGAATTAGCATTATTATGGTTATTTCTATTTAATTGTTTTTCTATCTCAAGTATATAAATCAATCTTTAAGACCTAAAAGTTTGTTTAATTAAAAAAAAGTTCTGACATCTTAGAAATATGGAACACAACTTTTAGTATTTTCTAGAAAAGTTGACTTTGGTATGGTATAATAAAGTCAAGCTGGGAATGCAGCTCAGTGGTAAAGTGCTTGCCTAGCACTCCTGAGGCCATAAGTTTGCCCTCCAACACTGTGAAAAACATAGAATCAATCAATCAATCAATCAATCCCAAATAACCTTTCAGATACTGTACAATTACCTATGGTACTGATTTCATAATTGGGTTGTAAATGAGTGGCTGAAAAATATGAATAGTCTTATTCCAAAGAAAATCATTCAGAGGGGCTGGGGATTTAGCTCAGCAGGCAAAAAGCGCCTGCCTGGCAAGCGCAAGGTCGTGAGTTCGGTTCCCGGTACCGGAGAAAAACCAAAACCAAAAAAAAAAAAAAACAAAAGAAAATCATTCAGGTAGCTTGATTTTTCACCTACTTAAGTACTGTACAAATTTATTAAATTTTATACATAAGCTAATTATGCAAAAAGGAGTTGAGATCTCTCAAAACAGGGTTGAAGAGGCCTTAAGAAAAATATTATTTTTGGACTACCTTTTGATTATTAGCCAGACTACTAATCCCAATGGCTCCTACAACAAGAAAGTACTTTTGCTTTACTTTTTCGACACTTCTATCACTTTGCAGCTTCCTAAGCTTAATGAACATTTGACATATGTGACAGTAGACAATTACAAATGGCTAGACTTCATACCCAGAGGGTTCTATCAAAACAGTACAGGTATTTGTATATACCCACTCTTCAACACAAGCCTATCTCTAAGAAGGCAATGAATTCAGTAATGAAATGAACCCTCAGGGAAATAGGAGAGAGCAAAGTAAGATAGGAGTAAGAGAAAAAGCACAGATCTGCTTAGGTAGCCAAAGCAGCTGAGTTAATCATGACAAAGAAAAAAGGGACATGTCTTAGCCAAAGCTCCTCAACTCTGGCTTATGAATGCTTCCTCTTTCCCTATTACCTGGAGATGGGAGTGAAAATCTGCTTAAAAGCTTCACAATGATACCCCACACTCCTGCTCATTACATTTCTAAACTTTTCCAAAGTACATTAACCACCGTAAGTTCGTATCTCTTTTTGATCCAAACAAACCGTGGCAGATAAAGGCATTGAGTCTGACACGATGTTTATTCACTTTTCTTAATTTTCCAAGTCACACTCAGGATAAACTAAATCTAACATAATTTTTTAAAAAGTAATTTGAAAAGTTCTATTTTTAGAGATTATTATCTGTATCAGTTAATTAAAAGTATCAATCCAGAATGACTAGGATGTGTCCCGATACATTAAAATCATTAAACTAAAACTACAAGTGAAAAACTAAAACTATTATTTGCAAGCTCAGTGGGAAAAAAAAAGCAAAAGCAATCTATTAGTAACACTGCAAACATGGAGTACTCAGTTAAGACAATAAGCAAAGCAAAAAAAATGTACTTTCCGTGTCACTTAATGTAACATCCAATTAAACATGCAGAAAGCAGTTCAGCATGTAGACAGAAAATGAGGCCACAGTTTAAAGGTTAACTTTAATAAAAACTTAAATTTTCTTCCAAGAATACTTTAATGTGTATGCACATGGGGATGGAAAGGGAGAGGATTTTTCACATATTCCTTCTAAAGTTCTATTTTCAGGATAAGAAAGAATATCTTATGAAAAAGAAGCTAACAGGGGTTAATTGAACGAATGTTCTAAGCAATGAATCCAAACACTTACTGAATTTCCTAATTCTATCAGTATGTAATCTACCAGCTGTAATCAATCTTTCCCCTCCCACTAAAATCTAAGGAGTCTCATCCTTTTTCTTAGATTCCATTGTTGAATCTTTGGACCCCAGTTCAATTAATTATTCCTCTCCCTTCCCATAACAGCATCGTTAGCCATTTGCTTTCTGATTACTGTTTCCCATCAATGTTCTTCCATCCTAAAACAAAAAAATAGCTACTCAAAACCAAATGCAAACTCCTTCCCTCTACTCAGTCTTTCTTTGGTTGTAGCCCTCCACCTCATCTCCCTTTCATATCTAGCTTTAAACCCACAACAGCCTCTTATCTCTTAACTATCCACTAAAATCTATGGCTACCCTCACCACTGCGCTGTAATGTTCTCTCCCCGATCAACAATGACGCATTTTAATCCTTATGTATTTTAAATACTCACCAAACATCTAACTCCTTTACTATCCTCCATGAAGCCACTATCCACAAGTTGCTGTGTTATCAACACTTCTTCTTTTTTAAATCTATTCTTAACATCTTTTGCCTCAGTCATTCCTTAAATATTAGTATTTTCCAAATTTCTAACCTATCCAAAAATAGACAAAAACTTTCACCACAATCCTTCTCTCCATCTTCCACATCCAACCCAGATCTGTTGAATTTACAGCCTAAACAGATCTGAAATTCACTTACTTTTCAACATCCCTCCTGTCACTTTCCTTGTACAGACTAAGATCTATTGAGGTTTCTGAAAAACCTTGTGGCGGGGTACTAGGCCTACTCTAACCCCTTAATTCATTTTTTTTTTTTTTTTATGTTTTGGGGCCACAGTGATCTTCCTAAAATGCAAACCCAATCTCATTCTTCTAAGTTTTACTTTTAGGATAAAATCAAACCACTTGTAAAACTTTTAAGATTATAAATTACTTCAATTTTTACTAAACCATCCAGCATAATCTCTCAATACCATTTCACTTATCCTGTCCACACACTAACCCATTCATGCCCTCACAAACATTCCCTACCCCACCTTTCTTGAATGTCTCTCATCACCTTCAACATTCTTTCACAGTTCTCTCAGTCATATGCTCTCATTTCTGCATCTTCACACCAAATAGTTCCTGTCTGAAACTTCCTCCTTATCAACCAACCATATATATATATATGGATCCCAAGAAAATCCTTCTCAATCCTCTGGTTCAGCTTCTATCACTTCCCCCAGTAAACTTTCCCTTTCTCCTCCACCAAGGGTTAAGTCACAAGGTTCCAGTTTTTACCTCCATAATAACATTTACCAGTATTATAAAGCCTGTGGGCATATCCTTGACAGTACTCTCAAAATTCACAAGGCAGAGGCCAAACTATTCATACCTCTCTCCTTAAATTTTTAAAAATAAATCGAATTTATTAGTAAATGAGTCAATAAAATGAAACATAGGAATTGTTAGTGCAGTTAGTTGAGCTCTGACACTTGAGTAACTATGAGCCCAAATAAGGTGTGGAACATTACCATCGACTCCCAAACACTACCAAAGATACTTCATGGCCTTTGCAGTCAGTTCTCCTATTCCCACCTCAGTTAGTGATCTGATCTGTAACACCAGAGATTAGTTTTGTGCATAATAAAATCCCACAAGAGGTAGTACCACACAACCTTGCACCTTCCACTTAGCATAGTGCTTCTGAGATTCATTCATTCTATTGTACATAGCAGTAATTAGTTCCTTTTTGTCACTGAGTAGTATGCCAGTGAATGAATATACTACAATCTGTTAATCCAAAAACCTGTTAATATATACCTGAACTGTTTTCAGGTTTTGGCTATTATTAAGACAGCTGCTATACATTAATTAACAAGTTTCTGTGTACACATATATTTTCATCCTTTTTGAGTACATATGGTTGAAAAGCAGAAAGGCTGGGTCACACAATCTAAGTATATAGTTAACATTATTTAGAAAATATCCTAAGAAAATTGTCCTACTTGGGAGGCTGAGG